CAAGTCTTTAAGACCCCAGATGCTATATCTTTTGATAGCTGGGCACTATCAGCTTTCCTCACCACATTTGTTTATGCACCTGCTTTGTCTTCAGCAATGGTGTTGGGAAGGTGAGCATCATGGAATGCCAGCTTAATAGAACAACGTGTTCTTGCATTGAGGGAGTACTTGAGTGGAGGCCCAATGGGACTGGCAATTTTCTCAGCGAAACATCTACGTGTTCTAGCCTCCTAGAGAGGTGGTTTGAAGGGCACACAGAAGTTGCTGGGTAGGGCATCTGGGAACGTGTTCTAAAGGAGCAGATTGGGCTGGGGGCTGCCTTCTCCTGCCCTCACCCGTGCCGTCTTTCTTCCTGTCTAGAATCAGACACGATGGCTGGAGCCACAGCAGCCATCTTCTGCCCAGGACACGGCTGGGAGGTGAGCAGAACCGGATGTCTGGTGACACCAGCGAGCCAGCCGCAGCTCTGAACTGCTCTGAAGGTTGTGCTGGGCGAGACAAAACCAGTCTTCCCCTTATCTCTTCAAACGCTTCCTCCTTTGCACTGCCAGCACACAGCGATAGTCAATTGGCAGAAGGTGCTGAAAGCTGAGCAGCAGTGTGAGAGCAGTTACCCATTGATGCATGCATAGCTTTTGACCCATGGGATCCCAAAAACTGTCATTAGAGGAAATGACAAGATAGAGAAATCACGGCCCTCGCACCCCCTCCATGCCACCAGCTCCTCGGGTGGACTCACACAGCAAGAAGGGTGGTCTCCTTGCCCTGCTTCACCCCTCAGCCAGCACGGTCACCATGCCACCAGCAGGTCCCCGGGGAAAAGCCAGAACTCAGGAATCTTCAGAAATATTCTAGGCCACCAAACACGAGCTAAGCACTAACAGCTCAACGTGGATTCCTGTAGGATCGGTGGCACACACAGGCAGAGGGTGCTGACTGCACGGGGAATATTAGCAGAAGGCGATGATTTTTAAAAAAATTTTTGCTACTAGGTCCTAGAATCTGTTGTACTGGCTTCACAGAACTCACAGGCAAAATTCATGATTAAAGAGTTCATTAAAGAAGTTAACAAGTTGTAATGCCAGTAAGAGATGCTCAGGGCCTCCTTGTTTATAAGGACATGTTACAAAGTTCTGTCAAGTGTGCTAAAAAAAAAAGTCCAAATGGGCATACTACTGGGCTTATTAACCTCAACCAGAAGGCATTCAGCTTAAGCTCGGGGCAGGGGAGGGGGTCCCTGAATTAAGTGCCCAGAGGCATCCCACTCCAGTAAGCCCCAGCTCCACTTCCATGGATCAGCGAGCCCAGATTCTCCAATGTGCAGCCATTTTTTAGGGCTCCTGGTCGTATTCGTATCATCATCTAAGCCAGATTTAAAGTACATTTAAGCCCTTTGTAACTAGACGTATCACCTATTGCCCTATAGTGAAAATTGATCATAAACTTCGCTAAGAATTCTGTTTATGGTCTGGTCTCAGAGGAGGTGAGACCACGGGTTACCACAGTCGGGGACCCCCTCCTGGTCAAGCCAGCCCTAGTGCCTACAGGAAAGAGCATTTTTCTCAGTTCCAAAGCCCTTTCAGACTCGAGAGCTGGCTTCCTCCCTTCTACGAAGTTACACAGAGCCCTGGCTTCTAATCATTATGCCCCATTTTAAAGATGGGCACGTTGTGCCCAAGGTCACACAGCTAGCCAGAGGCCCCCCTTGAGGCCATGTTTGCCTAAGGCCCTCTCCCTGGACCCCTATGTGGTGGAGCATATTCCAGCACCAGCTCCCAAAGCTGTGACCCGCGGCCGGCCTGGCGCCCAGTGGCCTCCTTTCAGGGGTGCACGGCCTTCCCGTAGATGTCCAGTCTTAATTTTAGCTTGGAGGCCTGCCACGGGAGGCTTTGATGAGAGGCAGGCTGGAGTTATGTGAGGCAGCTGTCAGCCGGCATGCTGGGTGGGGCCTATTTAGCAAGCAGGGGCACAAGTCTGAGCTGGGGACACTGAGCTGGTCTCTCTAAGCCGCCCTTGCAGCCCGGTGGGCCAGGCGCACGAGGATCCCCTCGGGTGGGTCCACCCAGCCCCGCGATGATGGCTGAGGAGCACACAGACCTTGACCTCGAAGCCCAGATCATCAAGGACATCCACTGCAAAGAGATCGACCTGGTGAACCGAGACCCCAAGAACATTAACGAGGACATCGTCAAGGTAAGCAGGCTGACCGCCGCGCCGCGCCCCGCCCCCCGCCCCGAGGGAGGGTGTCAGCCATAGTTGGGGGGCAGGAGAACCAGCTTGACCGGTGCACAGGTGCCTGCTCCATATCCAATTCGTTTTCCTGAAAAGAGGTCTTGAGAGTGGCCATGGCTTTCCCACTAACAGGTTTGCGCAATCACCAGTCTTCGGCATAAATGGGAACAAAAATCGGTCAGGGCAAGAGAGACAAGTGACAAAGAAAAGGCCTCCCTGGCGCCGAGACTCACCCATCCTGGAAGGAATAGCAACAGGGCCTAAGCTTCGCTATTTTCTGTGCCATGGATGGGGGGGGAGGTAGGGGGGAATGGGGTGTGTGTGTG